TATATATATCTATACTAAAAAAAAATTTCTGATTGAAAATGGACGAATTAGAATTATTGTCTGGTTATTTATTAAAATTCTAGTTGAGATAATCGGATTTTGATTAATATTTTTGATAAAATCAACTAGAATTTTTATTTTACCAGAATAATTATATCAATCAGAATTCTATTGTCTCAATTAGAATTCTAGTAAAAAATTAACCAGAAAATTCTGTTCATTTTTCCTTAAAATTACTATTTAATTCAACCAGACCATTTTTCTCAATGTAATTAAATTTTTAGATACTTCAACAAAATCGTTCTTTCCAAACCCACGCCGCGGTTGCCGGGGTTCAGCAGTTCCAGCGTTCACGTGTAGCACGTGAAGGCCGATAATATCGCGGCAAAGTGCATGCTTACGTGTTCTGTCGCCGCCGACGATGCGCTCAACGAACGGTATCCATCCGTGCGCAACGCACGTATAAGCGAAAGCGCAGTTCGCGTAAGCGTGAGATGTCCCAACCCGCGTTGGACACCGCCATCAGGACATGCATCGCTGATCGCATCGCGCGTGTAAGTATTCGCACGCCTGGCACATGCGCGCAAGTAAACTGACACCATCTGCCAGCGATTCGCACCAATCGGTATTTCCCGTCGAATTGGCAGATTTAAAAAAAAATACGCGGACTATGCGGATTAAAAAAAAAAGCGCGACGAAGTTACGTTTATTTTCAGCTTTAATCCTTTGTCATTGGCGAATATATAGGTATATGCGTTCGACAATCATCAGGACAATGTCAGGATGAACTATAGATCGGTTTCATTTCTGATTACTTTGATTGATCGATTGAATTATTAGATATTAAAAATTGTCAATCATAAAACTTAAAACTGATCATATAATATTACGTTAAGTTTTTCTTATCAATTTTCTGCAAATTTATTAAAATGTAATATTTTAATTAATATTTAAATAATATATTTAGCATTAAAACCGTTTGTATTATTTTGGGTTCGTTATTCTTTTTTTTTCTTTTATGTATTAAATACATGAAAAAAACGCTAAAGTATCTAAAAATTTAGCTGTAAATACAAATTATTGATGGTTTGACCATCAATAATTATGTAGGAATCTCAAGCATGATCGCTAATGCTACAAAAAGTTTTGACCAATTTAAACATTCTATATAATTATTTTAATAATCCAACAAAATTATTTTCAGATCTATATCTAGCTAAATACTTTCAATGTATAGAATATATAATGTACAGAATATTGAAAATATATGAATATAATATAAATAATTTGAATATAAAAAAATATATAAATCTAAATATCAGGGTTGCTGCTAAGTTAAAAAGATAAAAGTTAAGTTAAAAAGTTAATTAATTTTATCTTAACTTAGTTACATTTTAGACTCTTAACTTTTTAACTTTATTTAATTATATTTTATCCGTAACTAATTAATTTTTTATTTAATTCTTTAAAGTTAAGTCTCAGATATAATATATATGCAGCAATAGCGATAAAATGAGGCGAAAATTGTAAAAGTGAGCAAATTTTTCAGAACACAAAGTCATCTAAAAGATAACTAAAAGACGAAAGACTAAATTGTTATAAAGATAGGAAGAATATAGATTGTAAAAGGATATAGTCGACGAAAAGATGATTAAAAGACGACAGATATCGCACTGCTAGTCATCTTATAATCTTATTCATATGATAACTAAAGGACTTCTGTGGATATCTTTCTATCTATAATACTACTTTCAGTTTTTATATTTTGATATATATAACGTTTAATAACATCAAATTCCTAAATTAATTTTTACACAAAATGAAATAAAATTGCATAACTGACAATATATGTCCCATTTCCTGCAATCTTTGTCGTGTCCTATGTGCAAGAATCATTATCTTTTTTCATAGTCCCCTTTGGGGACTCGACAACAAAATATTTGATTAATATTTATTAGAAACACGAGTAAAATTTCTTATAATGCTGCATCTTTTATTCTGTTCCGTATGATTTTCAAACAAAAACTAAACTCCATCACATCCATCTAGTGACGATCTCGCGTATTGCTCGCGAATGAGTGATAAAAGTTCAAAATAACGGAAAGATATCTTTTAGTCGATCTTTTGCTTTGTGAAAATGACAACCATAGAAAGATGACGAAAAGATTTTTTTTAAGTTTCCGACAAAATTAAAAGAGAAGTCTTATAGACATCTTTCAGTCTTACTAAAAAGACAATCTAAAAATAATGTCTTTTCATAATCTTTTTGACCTGTTCGCTTTTCGAAAAGACAGCTTAAAAAAAGACCTCTTTTCTATTTATTTGTATTTTGTATATTATTTTATCTTTTAGTATTTTGTGCTGTCTGAATTGCTAGGTGTTGATCAATGAAATTATAAATATTCTAATGAATTAGCTCACTTTTGTAATTTTCATCTCAAATTATACAATCAACCCCCAGATTTCAATCTGTCAGAAACGTCGTATATTTCGATATCTAGTTTCCGATAGGTTGAAATCTATTATTCCTTATTACCATCACTATTCCCTCGTATTGTGTCGGAAGCTTTAATATTCATCATATCACAGGTTAGTAGTTCATAGTTCGTCAGTATTCGAATCTTATATACTAAATAGTATACATATATAAACC